ATCAGCGGGGGGGTGGGGTGGGGGCGTTTGGGTCAGGGGGATTTGGGGCGGGGGCGGCGGAGGGGACGCACGGAGAGCCCGGGCCGCGAAGCCCAGCCCGGGTCCCCCGGGCTCTGTGACCATCCATTTCCAGCCGTGCAGCGGATCCACGCCTGCCTGCAGCTGCCGGGACGAGCTGTCCGCACTCGGGCATTTCCCATCCCCAGCCCCGCATGAACCCCGGCACAGCAAGGGCAGCTCAGCCCCAGGAACGCCGACTTTGCAAAGCTCTTTGGGCTCCACTAGTCTTAAAATTAGCACAGATTATAATTTATTATTATTAATAATAATAATTATAATAACAATAATAATAATATTACTACCACTACTATTATTTCCTGTTGCTTTGATGTGAGTTAAGTACCACTAACACATTACATTTCTAAATTGAGGGCAATTGTAGTGAAAAAAAAAAAAATAGCATCTATTGGTATCATAACTATGGGCTACACGTAGGGAGATTATTGACACACCTGCCCTGCAAGGCAACGGTGAAAGCTGCGGATAAATTATAGGCACGTACACAAACTGCGGGCTTTAGTTATGCACTGGATGAGGAATTTATTGGTTTATAATTATGACCAACTGAAAAAACAAGGGGGGTTAAAGTGATGTAATGAGCCAGTTGATGAGCTAAAGGAGACCCAAGGGCTGGCTCAGCTCCCCACAGTGTTCTCTGGTGCTGCAGAGTGACACCCTGAAATGCAGCACTCTGTGGGGGCTCTGCTGTTATCTGCACCAGGAACTTCGGCACAATCAGCAAAGCCCGGGGAGCCCTGTCCTCCTGCCTCAGTTTCCCAAGAAAAGCTGCCCTCAAACCTCCTTCCCCTAAAACAGAGACTGCCCTACGAGTCCCCAGCAGACCCCCTCCAGCCCCCCGTGTGCCTGCTCAGAGGGGCAGCACAGCAGCTCCTCAGTGGCTGCGGGGCCAGGGGGTCCCGAGCAGCCCCGGAGGGTCCCGAGCAGCCCCGGAGGGTCCCGAGCAGCCCCAGAGCCTGGATCTGGCTCCTCAGGAAGCACCTTCCAGGCAGAGCTGGCTGCTCCCCAGGGATCTTATCAGCAGCTTCCAGGGGCTCCTGCCCACACCCTGATAAGTGCTGGGCTCCACGCACGGGTTGGGGTGTCCTGCTCTGCCCCCCAGCACCACTGCCAGCACTGAGTCAGAGCAGCCCGCGGCACACACACAGTGGGGTCAGCGCCAGGTCTCACTCCTGCCTTTCCAGGAAGGTGCTACAGCCGGGAGAGACTGGAAACAGTCAGCACAAGGAGTTTACTGAAGTCAAACCCATCGCCCTCAGGCAAATGGGGAGTGCTCAGACCTCCCACATCCTCCCTCGGACACCTCAGGGATGCTCCCGGGTACTCCCAGGGCAGCAAGACCCTGCATTCTCTATCTGCCACACAGGAACAGCCCCTGGGCTGACCAAGGGAAAAGTGAAAAAGGAAAAAGAATTTAAAAATAATTTTATTTTTTCAAACAGGATTAGTTACAGAGGCATTTCCATGCCTAGTCAGGAGTTAATATATCATAAAAAAATAGAAATAACTTAACTGGAGCTATCATTCAACAGCCAAACCAAGGGTGGCGATGCTGCTGGCCCTGGATCCTGCTCCCCAACAGGCACCTCCAAGTGCTGCTGGGAATGCTCTGGCATATCCAGATAAAGCCATGGCCACCCCATCCCACCCTCACAGCAGGAGAGGGGCTGAGGGAGCCTCATGCCCCAGCACAGCTCCCCCCTCAGCCCCTGAAGCTGAGGCAGTGGCGATGTGCCAGTGCTTCGAAAACAATGCAAAAAGGTGTAAAACACACTCGTATTCCTACCCTGTCCCTGCTCCTGCCCTGGCACTTAGGTTAAAGGCACTTCACATCCCAAACTGCTGGGGATGAGGCAGAAAGGTGGGGAGGGGGTGCCTGGGCAGCACCCCCTCCAGCAGCTACGTCTCCCAGTGCAGCAGGACCCAAGAAGCAGGGATGAAGCCCATGATATCCTCTGGCCATCTCTTCGGTGGCAGTCTTGGTGCCAGCACGCGTCACAGGGGTGTGACACCAGCACTGCACCCACAGATGTCCCAGTTTGGCTTCACTTCGACCCCAAAAAGGCACAGAGCAGTAGAGCCCTCGCAGCTCCCAGGGCAGCACTTCGGGCTCTTCCCAGCACCGAGAGCCTCGCGGGGCTCCTCTTTCCTGGGAGACAGCGCAGGGAAGCTCCCACTTCACTTCCACAGCTCTGAGCCCGTGAAGCAGGGACACAACACTCCAGGTGGGTTTCCAGGGTACCAGCTGTGCCCTTCCTGCACAGCCGGGGCAGGAGGAGCAGGAGGGAGCCCGGCTCAGGTCATGTAGCGGGTGACGGCCCTGAGGGCGTAGAGCAGAGCCGCCTGCATGCGCGCCTCCAGCAGGAGCAGGTTGATGTGAACCTGTGCGAGAGCGGGGTCAGGGCGCGGGGCCAGCGCCCCAGGCACCCTGCCGGGGGGAGGGACGGGGCAGCACCTTCTCGGAGTGCTTGAAGTGCCTCCAGAACTGTGCGTAGATCTGCTTGGTCGTCCTCTCTGGGTAGCAAGCCACTGTCTTGATGTAGACCTTTAAGTTGCGCTCCAGGAGCTGGTTCACCTCCCCGTAGTCGTAGTCATCGTAGCTGGAGGGAGGAGGGCGTGTTATTCCAGACACAAGCCTTGTGCATTCATACAACCCCACAACGGTTTGGGCGGGAAGGACCTTAAAGCCCACCCAGTCCCACCCCTGCCATGGGCAGCGACACCTTCCACCATCCCAGGTAGCTCCAAGCCCCTTCCAGCCTGGCCTCGGGCACTTCCAAGGGATCGGGATTCCAGCATCTCTTTGGGCAAAGTCTGCCAGAGCCTCGCCACCCTCACTGTAACTTTTTACTAAATTCTCCTTTCCCAGGGTTATTCTGAACCTCAGCCAAGCCCACACACAAGCATCACTGTGCTTTGGGGAAGCAGCAGCAGCAACAGCCCGAGCAGGAGCGCGCGGCTGGACCTGGGCCGCGCTCTCCCGAGGCAGAGCGGGGAGCCCGGCCCGCCCCGGGGCAGTACCGGATGCCGAAGACGCAGTGGACGTAGTTCCAGATGGCTCGGCGCAGCACGGACGTGTCCACGCCACAGTGCATGGCCATGGTGTTGTAGGTCAGGTTGTAAACCACCTGGAACTTCTCATCCAGGAGCTGCCCCACCTCTGGGTACAGGCGGTTGATCAGCGAGAAGCCGTGGTCCTCCCAGGTGTAATCCTGATGGAGAAAGGATGCTAGGGCAGGGGTTTGGAGGGGAAAGGTGGGGCCCCTCTGTCCTAATTTCAGGAAGGGTACAGTTAATTTCTTCTCAGTAGCTGTTCCAGTGCTGTGTTTTGGATTTAGAATAACAAGGGTGTTGGTAACACACTGATGGTCTGGTTTTTTTTGCTAACTTGTGTTTATCCTGAGTCAATGATTTTATTCCTCTTGTTTCAGGCTCTGCCAATGGGAGGGAGCTTAGCCAGGACAGGTGACCTGAACTGACCACAGGGATATTCCACACCAGAGAACGTCATGCCCAGTTTATAAACTGGAGGCAGTTATCCAGAAGGGGCCAATCTGAGTTTGGGAAGGGGGATCTGGCATCAGTCAGCAGGCGCTGAGCAATTGCATTGTGCACCACCTGTTTTTTCCCTTTTCATTGTCATTATTTACCATTATCATTGTATTTTACTTTACTTTTAATTATTAAACTTGTATCTCGACATACAAGTTTTATTTTGGTTTTCCTCCCTGAGTTGCGGGCAAGAAAGTGTGGGCTGAGTGAGTAATGTTTCATCTCCAGCTTGTGGCCTTAAACCACAACACCCCCAAAGCCAGGGACAAGGTGGGGTCCCCCCTAAGCTGACACCTCCCCCCAGTTCTCAGCACCTGGTTGCTCAGCTCCAGCCCTTCACCCACTGTCCACAGTGCTGGGAACAACAGGCCTGAGCCACTGCTGACACCCACCTGTGCACGGAAGGTGGGAGGCGCCTGCTCCCCCCTCCGGGTGAAGTCCTTGTATCCGAATTCAGGGTCCTCCAGGAAGCAGCGGATGTTGGACTGCAGGGAGGGATCCAAAATATCTACAAGGCACCAAGGCAGTGGCCATGAGCCCAGAAGGAGTCAGTGCTGCACTGGGGAGCTGACCCTGCTCTCCCTCAGGCAGATTCCAGTTCCTGTCCCCCTCCTCGGGCTCCCCTGACCCACGGGGACCTCCTGCCCCAGACAGCTGCCCCTGCGCCTCCTCACCTGAGGAGGGGACCAGCAAACTCTCTGTCTTCTCCAGCTCAAAGCGTGTCGCCATCTCCTCCTGTGTGACTCCTTCCTCCTCCAGCTGGTTTTCCTGCAGCAGCTTCATCCTTTCCATCAGCACCTGCACCTCCTGCATGGCATCTGTGCCCTGGGGAAGCACAGGCCAGGGTCAACCCTGCCCCTGGTCGACCAGAGGGGCCCCCAACCCCAGCGCTGCTGGCACCTGGGGGAACCCCTGGGCATCTCCCTCTGGTCGTGCCCAGATTCCAGCAGCTCCCATGACCCATCCCCAGGCCCCCTAAGGGAGGAGGAGGAAGTCCTGTGGAGGATGTGGAAACTACTGCATGGCTCTAAAGCATCAGCTGTTCCCAATAAAGGCCACAGATCCTCTGAAAGATGGGCCCCTCTACTCTGGAAACAAGACTGGGAGAGCTGGGGAGGCTTCAGGAAGACCTTGGAGCCCCTTCCTGTGCCTAAAGGGGCTCCAGGAGAGATGAAGAGGGACTTAGAACAAGAGCCTGGAGGGACAGGACAAGGGGGAATGGTTTCCCACTGCCAGAAGGCAGGGACAGATGGGATATTGGGAAGGAATCCTTCCCTGTGACGGTGGGCAGGTCCTGGCAGAGTTTACCCAGAGAAACTGAGGCTGGCCATCCCTAAAAGTGTAAAGGGCCAGACTGGACAGGGTTTGGAGCAGCCTGGTCTGGTGGAAGGTGTCCCTGCCCATGGCAGGGGATGGAGCAAGACAGGCTTTAAGGTCCCTTCCAATCCAAGCCAATTTGTGATTCCCAGGGGCAGCCCCATAGAGCATCCCAGGGCACATTCACACCCCTGCAAGGCACAGCCCCTCTTACCCCAGAGCCCCCCATGGTGTCACCAGAGGCAGGGCTGCTGTTGCTGTGGGGTGAGGGGGCCCAGCAGCTGCTCCCCACGTCCTGCTCCTCCTCGGGCTTGATGCCGCAGCCGAAGACAAAGGATGCGAGCGAGTGGTAGTGGGTGAGGAGCACCAGCGCCTGCACCAGCTCTGCCAGCGACCAGCTGTCCTGCCCCGGCTTCAGCAGAGCCTGCGACACACAGCAGGGCTTGTAGAGATCTCCCAGGCCTCAGCTGTAGCCCACCACAGCCCAGTGCTAGGGCAGGCCAAGGGCAGGACACAGGAGTGCTTGGGAAGTGCCTCGCCCATAGACCCGTCGGGGCCAGGCACCCCTTCCCATCCCACTGACTCCCTCAGCCCCGAAAGGGTTAAACCCTGGGGGCTGTGCCCGCAGGAGGTGGCCCCTGGGGTCACTGTGTTCTGGGGGGCATCCGTGATGGCAGCATCAGCTCTCACCTCGATGTGCTCCTTGGTGATGAGCCAGGGCCGGTGCGCCAGCAGCTTGTTGACCTCATTGAGGTTCCGGAGTTTTTGGGGGGCACAGTGCAGCCCCTGCAGCCATGCAGGGTTGCCCCCCACCTGCAGGAACTCCCCCATGTGCAACCCCACCAGGTAGGAGCAGCGGTGCCGGGCTGCTGCCTGCGGGGAGAGCCAGCGGTCAGCCCCAGCCCTGGCTGCTGGCCCCACCTGCAACAAGCCAAGGCAGGGAGCCCACACAGCCCATGTCACTCCTGGAGGAGTTTCCCTGGGGATCGCCCCACGTCACTCCTGGAGGAGTTTCCCTGAGGATACGAGTTCCAGATTTCCCCCTCACTACCAGGGCCAGTCCCCAGGGGTCCTGGAGGGAGGGTGTTGGGGTACCCTGGGTGGGCACCAACCCCAAAGGGGTTTCTAAGCTTTTGGGGCGTCAGATCAGAGAGGGGCCCATCTGTGGGCTCCCAAATGCCTCCTGAGCAGCAGTGCTGGGACCCCTCACAGACCCCTGTGTCCCCACACCCCCAGGGCCCGCTGCTCACCATGATGGCGATGTAGTGGCGCTTGTGGTAGGGCAGGGGCCCGTCCATGCGCAGCAGGAGGTACTGGGTCTTCCAGAAGCTGCTGAGGTACTGGGGGTGCAGCCCCATGACCAGGGCGACGTGGTCCACCCTACCTGCTGAGACGAAGGCCTCGAGGAGCTGGCGCAGGCTGCTCTCCCCTCCTTCCTGCGGGACCTGCAGAATGAGGGGAGGGAAGTGAAGGGCTGCGAGCTGCAGGTCCCCACTCCTCCCAACATCCCCTAACCTCAACGGAGACCCCCCCCAAGAAGCAGGACCCGGGAACCCCAGAGCACCAAGGCCAGATCCTCACCCCACGGGCAGTGCCCCGCCTGCGGAACGGACACCGGCGCTGACCCCCGCCGCCCGTGTCCCCGCGCCCGGCCCCGGGGGGCAGAGGCTGCTTGGGGGTCTCCATGGCAGAGCCCACCAGCCCGTCCCGCTCAGCCTCGGGCTGGGTTGTTTGGGCTCTGGAGTGCAGGGGAGGAGACGGGGCTCAGCCCCCAGCGCAGTGACGAAACCACGGCGCTATCTCTGCCCGAGGAGGAACATCTGGAAGAGTGAATGTGGGTGCTGAGATAGGGCGCAGGTGCCCTGGGGATTTCAGGGCAGAATGCTGGGGGGCGGGCAGGGCAAGGGTGTGGGTCTTCACATCGCAGGGGAAACACAGATGTGTGTGCCCGAGTGGGGAAACTGAGGCACAGGCAGGGCAAGCAAACACCAGGGTGAAATGCAGCTGTTCCCCTAACCTCCAGAACGACCCCCCCAACAATGCCACAAGGATCCGCTTGGGGTGGGTGACCCCCCATTCCTCAGCATCCCACCCCCGCCAGGAGTAGGAACCGGGGGATTGGGAATCCTGCCCGTCACCCCACCCGCAGCAGGGAAGGGTGAAGGAGACCCCCCACCCCAGCCAGTCCTCATCGCTTTACCTCTCCCAGGGGAATGAAGGCGCTGGGGCCCCTCGCCAGCTCCCGGGCAGCCTCGATTCCTCTTTCCTAGGAAGGAAGGCACAGCCGGGAGTCACGGAGCCGGGAACATCCCCGTCGGCGTCACCGGAAGGGGTGACTCAGGCGGACACGGGCCACGGGGCCATCCCGCACACCCTCTGCGTCAGGCAGCGCCTGATGAAACCGGGCTGGGAAGTTGCTCCGCTCCCGGACGCGGTGACACAGCGGGACGCCGCTCCCGAGCCGCGCTCGCCGCCGCCAGGAAAGCGGGGAGCACCGGGATAACGGGATGCGGGGATCAGCAGCAGCACAGCCACGGCACTGTGCCTACGGCCTCCTCCGGGGCTCCCACTAAGCCCTCCCTGGGCGTCAAATGCCACTAAACATGACGGTTTCCCCCACGCTCCTCCAAACTCGTTAACAGAGTTAATCCAGAAGCAGCCCTCACTCGCAGGGGCTCAGAGCCTTTCTGCCCCACATCCTCAGGGCTGGAAGTGGGCAGCTGCACGCCCACAGCACCCAGTGAGTTACTGGGTGAACTGGACGAGCTGCTTCCACAGACCCACAGAGGAGGACATCAAATCCCTGTGGAGGCAGAAGGCAGCCTGGCACCCTCTCCTGAGCAGGAAAGGGGTGTGGGATGGCACGAAGTGACCGGAGCAGCTGCCAGTGCAGCCACGCGCTGCCCATGCGGCGGATGGCACCGCGACAGAGCCAGGGCACACCAGGAATGCCCTCAGCCAGTGGCTCCCGTGGGATGCTCCTGCCTCGAGTCACCATGGAAGCTCTGGGGTGACAGCGGGCTCAGGCTCCTGCTGCTGAGTTGGCTCCTTGGTTGTGTGCTGACGCAGGGTATGAGGAGAAAGAACTGTCTGCACGTCCGAGAGACTCCCTGGGAGGGGACAGCAATGGGCCCTGGCAAAGTGAATCCACAGGACAGACAGAAGGACTTCCAGACAGCTGGAATCCCAACCCACAGCAGGAACCAGGGTCCCAGCCCAGCCCCTGCTTTATAGTATATCTCAGGGTGACCTTGGAAGGTGAATTTAATCATTCCTGCAAGAGGCTCCTCGTGTTTTGCTGCATTGAGGAATCCTTGGGGTGCTGTGCTTAACCCTTGCTGTGCCACCAGCGGATAAAGTATCTCCCCCTGCTTCCAGTGATAGGGAATCAGAATCACGGAATAGTTCAGGTTGGAAAAGGCCTCTGAGACCAGAGTCCAGCTGTTACCCCAGGACTGCCAAAGCCACGACTAACCCATGCCCCCAAGTGCCACATCCACACGTCTTTTAAATCCCTCTAGGGATGTGGACTCCACTCCCTGGGCAGCCTGTGCCAGGCCTGGACCACCCTTTCAGTGAAAAAATTTCCCCTAATATCCAACCTCAACCTTCCCTGGCGGAACGTGAGGCTGCTTCCTGTTGTCGTATCAAACTGAGGGGAAACCGAGGCACTGAGACACTGTGACTGACACACAGTCTGCCTCCAGTTCCAGCGGGCACAAGGCAGGCTGAATCTTGACAGTGGGACCAGGGGAAGGAGATAATGCCCTGTGAGCAGGAAGATGGGTGTGCTGAGGAATAATCCCACTGGTGCCAGGGCTTAGGCAGGTTTTGGGAAACCATCCCTGTTAAGGTGAGCTTCATGCTGGGAACAGCAGCATGAGCCAAACTGGAGGACAGAGCCCTTGAAGCCCCCCAGCGTCCTGTCAGCCCCTCACCTACCCCGCAGGCACATCCCACCCCTTCGTGCCAAGCCGTGCCCGTAAGCTCTGCCGGGTTCCCACACATGCCAGCTCCCGCAAGGCTGCGAGACCCAAGGGTCTCGCCTTCCAGGCGCCCCAAGTTCCCCCTGCCTGGACCGGGCCGCCGCATGCCCGGGAACCTGCGGGAGCCCAGCCCGCTCCTCGGCACCGCCGGTTTCAGCCCGGCTGCAGGGAGGACGCGCCGCAGGGCCGCTCCCGTCCCGGCCGCGTTCTGCACGTGTCCCGGCGGCTCCCCTCCCTGCGGCCGGGCAGCGGCCACGGGCCAGGGCACACCCCCGGCGCCTCTCCGAGGGACGGGGCGATACAGCCAGGGAGCCTTACCTGGCCGCCCCGCCGGGCCCCGCAGCCCCGGCGCTCCTCCGGCCCCGCGGGGCTGCTCGGCGAGCCGGCGACCAGCATGGCGTTGGGGCCGGGGCCGGGCGGTGGGGACGGGGCCGGGCGGTGGGGACAGCCCCGGCGGTGGGGACAGCCCCGAAGGTGGGGACAGCCCCGAAGGTGGGGACAGCCCAGCCACCCACGGTCACCCCCGGCCGCCCCCGGCCCCCGCGCTCCGCAGCGGCCGCGGGACCCGCGCCCGCCACCTTACATAGCCCGGGGCGGGGACACGCCCCCGGCCCGCCTCGACCAATGGGAGGTTGCGGGCGTGACCGCCCGGCAACAAGCAGGCCAATGAGAAGGCGGGGGCGTGGCCAGGCGGGCGGCGGGCGCGCCCGCGCACCGGCGGCAGCGCGCGTTATTTCGGGACTGACGGTGCCCCGGTTACCATCCTGCTGAGTGGACAAGTCTGCCGTTCCAGGAAAGCTCAACAGCAAGGGAAGGCCAATTGCTCAACATGTGCTACCTTAGAGGGAGGTTGGCTGGGGACAGCTCCTGCCTTTTTCACCAGCTGGTGGTTTTGGGCAGCCCAGATTCTCAGGAGGGAAACAGCAGAGACCATACAGGGACACTCTGAAGGAACACCTGGGGCAGGTAACACATGGAATATTGTTTCAGTGTCTCCTGTCCTTACATGCTCTGCTCAAAGATCAGGAGCTGGATTGTCACTGTGGCTGGTCACCCCACTACAGACTAGAGTGGGAAAACCTGTGGCATTAGGGCTTGGTGGGCTGCAAGGAAGCCCAGAGCATTTGTGGGACGGAGAAGGGAATTATAATCATGGAATATTCAGGTTGGAAAAGATCTTTAAGAGCATCCAGTCCAACTGTTCCCCTAGCACTGGGGGCCACCATCTAACTCTTGTCCCCATATGTTACATCCACCCGGCTTTCAAGTTCCTCCAGGGATAGGGACTCCCCAACTTCACTGGGCAGTCTGTGCCAGGCCTGGACAGCTCTTTCCATGGAAGAATTTTCCCTAATATCCAATCTAAACCTTCCCTGGCACACCTTGAGGCTGTTTCCTCTCATTTCCTCTGCAGGTGCACTGTTCACAGGCGTGGAGGGAAGGTGACTCCCAAGGTGATCCTGGCCCACAGCAGCTGCCAGTGCTCCATCAGGATTTCTGCACTGCAGGCAGATGGATGTGGCTTCAGCAAAATAAAAAAAAAGCCAGTAGAAACTGTGGTTTGTACAGGTCAGTGATCCTCATTGCTCTGGGAGTAGCAGCAGGGGGGAGCTGCTAACCCCATGTGCTCCGGGAGACTGGATATGAACAAGGAAAATGGCCAAAGCTAAAACCCTTTTAAACTCCCAGACCTCCAGAGATTTCCTTAGAAAAAGATGAGGGGCAGCTGAATTTTCTTCATGGAAATCTCATGGGAAAAGGGAAAACCTCCATGCCAAGGAAGCAGGTCTTTCTGTCTGTGTCAGTATCCCTTGCCTCGATCAGGAATACATCTCCTCAGATACAGCCGGATGGGTCCTGGGAAGCTGGATGTAACCAAGTAACCAGGATCCTAGCAACAGGCTAGATGGGAGGATTTAAAGATAGAAAAAAAAGTAGGAGCAAAGCAAACAACGGGAAAATATTTTCTCATTCCCCGAACTCCCAACCCTAAAGCAGGAGATAAATCAGCTCCAGGCAGGGAGAGATACTTTGGTTGTTTTGTTTTTTACCCTTTTCAAAGCAAACAAAGTAGCAGTCACAGATGAGGATTTTTTAAAACCACTTTTACAGGTGTCATTTGTACAAATCAAAGCGTCCCTTGAAAATCTCATCATTACAAACATACAAAGAAACGATGTTGGTGCTACAAATCAGCTATGCAACGGCAGGAGCAATTTATCACGATTAAAAACCCTACTGAACAGTATTTACAGGGCCTTTCTCCCTCTTTTTATTTCTGTATGTTGAGGGAAGGAATAAAAGCAAAGCCCACAGTTAAAAAAACTCCCACCAATGCACTTCATTTTCTTAAAGTATAAAACTGGGTGAGTTTTTGCCACACTCAGGCAAAGTGTAACGATTTCTGGTTTTGCTTGTTTTCACATCAAAAATCTCTTAGAAAAACCAAAAACAAACACATGGCAGTGTCTGATGAAATGCGCTCCTTCCGTGCCAGAAGCCAACATCATCCCGAAAAAGTGCCTTTGAGTAAAACCAACTTAATAACAAACAGGAAAAAAGAGGATGAAAAAAGTAATCACAAGCTCTAGTTAAAAGCTTCATCAAAGCCCTGACAGAGCAGCCGCCCTGCAGCAAAAGCACGAGTTCTCTTACCTACCTTCAGCCCCTGCTCGGGGGTCTCCAAGCCCTGAGATGTTTCTCCGCTCCCTGACTGGCGTTCGGGATGCCGAGGAGCTCCTGCCAGCCCGGAGTTGTGTGGTGCTCCCCCTCCAAGTGCTTTTTATCCACCACCATCACCCCAAAACAGGTGCTTGGGGGGATCTACCCCAGCTGGTCTGGCTGTAAGGGTCAGTGGCAGCTGTGCTATTTTGGGGCAGCACATCCCTGGTACAGGGAACTCTCATAGCCCTTTGATCCTGCTGGTTTGGAATCAGCAGTGAAAAAAATCCCTGGAGTGCCCCAAAAAACACTCCCTGGCTCAGGTCGCTGCCTGAGTAAGTGCTTTCCTGGAGCCAACCTGGCCCCGGCATCTGAAGGGGCAGGGAAAGGGGGAAGAGAGGGAATATCCTTACTCTCTGTGTAAAGAAATGGAGTAAGAGATACTTGATCGCACCAAACTGCAGAAATCATCAAAATCCCAGAGGTCACCACATAACCAGGGCACTGGGTGGGGGGAATTCTGGGTGGGTTGGGGGCTGTATCATTCCACTTTGGCTCCCAACCCAAAAGCTCTGATCAGAAAAACAAGGAAACACAAAACCAGGCAGTTTGGTTTGCCAAGCTGACAGAGAAAATAAGAAAAAAAACCAAAACAAAACACAAAAATCTTCCAAGATAAATACATGGCCCCCATTTTGGAAGCATCTTCAAAAAGCTGGATCAACTGTTGTCAGCAGTGGCACAACCTTCCAGAACACCTGTTGGGCTAGTGAGTTCTCAGCTCTCTTTTGAAGAGGGAACAGTTCAAGGGAAAAAAAAAAAAAAAAATCTGGCTCCCACCACACGCAGCTCCCATTTTATCTGCAGAACAACTGGCCATGGCAATTCCCTCACAGCAGCAGGCTGGGAACCACTAATGCAGCAGGTTCCTGTTTGCTCATGGAAAGGGCTGGCAGTGGTAGCAACTGGTTAGGAAAAGATTTCTTCCAGAAAACAGTACTTCTGGGGGGATTTAGGAAGGCTGGGACCTCTCCCCATGGATTGAAACCGGCCACACAAGCATGCTGTCAGAAGGTAACACGCACCAGGAATTCCCATGGAGTCCACAACACAGAGGTTTGGGCTTCCAGCCATCCAGCAGGTCTCCCACACTCCTCGGCTAATGCTGGGGAAAGCTCCCAGGCTGGGGGCTTGGCTTTAAGGGGAGGTTATTGCTCCTGACTTCTCAGGCTTTTTGCCTTTTGACAGGGCAGCTGCTTGCTTCAGGAGTTCTCTGTTCTTGGCCTGGAAAGGGGCAAAATGGGTATTTAGTGGCATGGATCACCATTAGCTCTTGGGATCCCTGTGCAGAAGCTGCTGACATCCTGCACACAGGTGGAAAGGGGGGCAGAGATTGAGCTCACCTCTAACCTAGAGAGGGCTCTCCCTGGGATACTTCCCCAGAGGGGGTGTGGATGGAGGAGGGGCTGTTTCCTCGGGGGCAAAAGAGGCCTTTTGTTTTATCCCGTCCCACTTCTCATTGCTGGGGCTTTAGATATTTATATACCCAAAGTAATTAAATGGTGCAAAGTTCATTTCTGTGTTTCATTTCTTTCCCCTTTGACCTGATCCTTCAGTGGCTCAAGCTATTCATGCTGATAGTCTGCTGTGTTTCCACAGCCATGACAAGAATCCTGCTCTCTCTGCACCCATCAGCTCAGATACTTTTTTATCTGGACTAGAGATAAAGGGCAAAAAGAACTGCCAATTGTTCCTTTGTTCTCTCTGGTTACTGCTCACACAAATCACAGGGAGGTGATTTAGAGGTTCAGGGAGCTGACAAAAGTTCTGCAGAGAGGAGAAACAGGTTTAAACTTGATTTTGGCAATAAGTAAAATGAGTTTGATGGCTCCTGTCTAGTCCATAAGGGACACAACATAGCACTTGACAGCACAGTAAGTGTGAGCCTGAGTAGAGAGCAGCAAGGTAGGTGTAAATGGTGGTTGGGATGCAATGCAGAGCTCAGGAGGGGCTTGCCTGGCAGCATAGAGGCTGTAGGACAGGGCTTAGAAACATTAGCAGAGCTCTGTGTGCAGGAGCTCACAGGGTATTCTGATCAGGAGCGTCCTCAGTCACTCCTGGATACAACACAGCTCAGCAAATTAAACTGACAATGCTCTCACCTGTAACTGCTCCATGACCTCCTTGTGTGTCTTCTCCATTTGGTTCATCTTTGCCCTCATCTGTGATTCCTGGTACTGCAGGTCGGCTTTCAGCTCCGTGATCTGTGCAGAAACCAGGAAGGAGCAAGTGAGCTGGAAGAGGCAACACCACAGACTGCCCTCTGTGTCACAGTGCCCTCACCACAGACCGCCCTGCCACGGAAAGTGTCTCTACAGAAGGTGTGTGAGACTGGCTGAGGTCACAGATGTGCTGGTGGTGCTGAGGGACTGCAGTGAGACCAGAACTGTGTCACGGAGAGCACAGAGCAACAGCAAGGGCCAGCACTGCATTTCTCCAAGCAGCAGCATGTTTGTTCCCAGTCTTGCCCACACACAGAGGTCTCCAAGAAAGTAGTCAGGAAATGACCCTTTATGGAATGAGATCCCCTGGGTGGGTCCAGAGAGCCTCTTTGGCTTTGGAAAGGAGGCAGCCTGGAAACAGCCAGACATGTTAACTCCAAGATAAAAGCCAGGCTGTGTCAGAGTGTGATCTCTGAGAACATGTCAGCCTGCTGGGGGGAAGCAAGCCAAGGACTGTACCTTCTTCTCCTTCTCCAAAATCATCTGATCCTTCTGGTGAAGCATCTTTTTTAAAGTAGCCACTTCCTCTTTCAGCTGGGCAATGATGACAAAGTGGTCGGTGCCAGGGGAGTCCAGGGCGAGGTCTGGAGAAAAACTGCAGCAAAGAACAGGGAGAGGCCCTCAACAAAACCCTCCTCTTCACTGAGGCAGGGAACCTCCCACAGATGCACTCAAGGGAGAATGGGAATCATTTCATGATCATTCACGATCCTTTTTCAAACCAGAAAGTTGAAGACAGCAATCAAGAGAGATAATTAAACTTTATGCATCCCTTTGGAAATCTCTTTGCTCAAAAGTAGTCCTTGGATGCACTGCAAAACTTCCCACTGAATGAAAACAAACATTCTGGCAAGGAGGGGACATGAAAGAGAAACAAATAACCTCCAAGTTCAACAAACAGAGCAAAAGTAAACAGCTAAATTGTCCTGAGCAAGGAAAAGGGGTAAAAAAACGTACTGGACCTTGTAATATGACTCTGCCACGATAAAGCAATTTAGGGAGAAGCTGCATTATTCCAGAGTAGGAAAAACTCTCCAGGAAAACAGAGAAATAGCAGAGCACATCACCTGTACACCACCAGGTACTCTAAGCAACCATCAGCAGTTACATGTGCATGAGTCACTGCTGCACTGGTAAATCACAAACCTCCCTACAGACACCCGGTGCCCCAGGCAGGCACGTGCAGTCCTGTGCTACAGGAATATGCCAGATCATAAGATACAACAAGCTGCAGCCACAAGGCCTAGGGAGCCCACCTGATTTTTTCCCTGCCTTCTGTTCCATTCCTAAAGCTGACTTTTATCTCCTGGTGCTAAGTGGGCAGCACACTCCCAGCCACATACCTGAAACTGCTGTATAAAAATTGAACAGTAATAAGACAACAAAGCTTCACCTAAAAGATTACTTCAAGTCTGGCTGTTATCATATAAATAAAAATAAATCATCAGGGTCACCCAAAGCCTGACTTTTTTTTTTTAAAGCCTTCAGGCTAGGTCAACACTGAGCTTTAAAGCTGGGAGCTGCGGTAGAGTGGGGAAAGTATGGTCTCAACCCAAAATTCTGCTTCTCTCTAGGATGTTTTTACCTCTGAGCTTCCAGTCCCCAACCTGT